TCCCACCCTAGTCTCTCCATTGCTCAGCATTGGCTGGTTGTTTATTGACAATACAGAGAACAAATGGTGGCATGTTTACACAAACTTGAGACAGGTGGTGCTTAGAATAAACATCACAATGAAACCAGATAGAAATCAGCATTTGAATGAACAAAGGGTAAATTGTTTACATTCCACAAGGATATTATACCCACACTTTCTGAATTGATCATGGGAGACAATGGTTGCTGTTGCCTCTGCTTATAGCCATTGCTGTGAAGGTGGCTTCCATGAGTGTGGGATCTGAATATGTTCTCAACCGTAAATTATAAATAAGAAAACCAAGGCTAGAGGGGTAAGTGATATCACATGGATAACTTGTAGTAGAATAAGAAACAGGATTTATATTTGGCTCCTGGCCCTAACTTTGTTATTTCAGCCTTCTTTTATGCTAAACTGGGCCTAGTATGGTCTTTCTTTGTCTGCAAGACAAAGAATGTCAGTACCCACCATTCTGGGTCATGCTGACTTGAGGTTATTTGTTTACTCTCTGAAGTTCCTGGATTAGTATCTCTGCTGCTGCTCTTATTTGCCTTTTTTTCCATTTTTTTTAACTTTTATTAATTACACTTTATTCATTTTGTATCCTCCCATAAGCCCCTTCCTCCTCCCCTCCCGATCCCACCCTCCCCCCGTTTCTGCATGCATGCCCCTCCCCAAGTCCACTGATAGGGGAGGTCCTCCTCTCCTTCTTTCTGATCTTAGTCTATCAGTTCTCATCAGAAGTGGCTGCATTGTCAGGGTTCTAGGTTATCTCCACGGATAGTCCTTGGTTAGAGTATGAGTCTCTGGGAAGTTCCCTGTGTTCAAATTTTCTTGTTCTGTTGCTCTCCTTGTGGAGTTCCTGTCCTCTCCAGCTCTTACTATTTCCCACTTCTTACATAAAATTCCATTCACTCTGCCCAACTCTGTCAGTTGGCCATCAGGCTCAGCATCTGCTTTGACAGTCTGCACGGCAGAGGCTTTCAGAGGCCCTCTGTGGCAGGTTCCTAGGTTGTTTCCTGTTTTCTTTTTCTTCTGATGTCCATCCTCTTTGCCTTTCAGGATGGGGATTGACCATTTTTAGTTAGGGTCCTCTCTTTTGCTTAGTTTGTTTAGATATACAGATTTTAGTGGGTTTATTCTATGTTGTATGTTTATATGAGTGAGTATATACTGTGTGTGTCTTTTTGCTTCTGGGACAACTCACTCAGGATGATCCTTTCCAGGTCCCACCATTTATCTGCAAATTTCATGATTTCCTTATTTTTCATTGCTGAGTAATACTCCATTGTATAGATGTACCACAGTTTCTGCATCCATTCTTCACTTGAGGGGCATCTGGGCTGTTTCCAGCTTCTGGCTATTACAAATAAAGCTGCTACAAACATGGTTGAGCAAATGTCCTTTTTGTGTACTTGAGCCTCTTTTGGGTATATGCCTAGGAGTGGTATGGCTGGATCTTGAGGAAGCGCTATTCCTAGTTGTCTGAGAAAGTGCCAGATTGATTTCCAGAGTGGTTGTACAAGTTTACATTCCCACCAGCAGTGGAGAAGGGTTCCCCTTTCTCCACAACCTCTCCAGCATGTGTTGTCACTTGAGTTTTTGATCTTGGCCATTCTGATGGGTGTAAGGTGAAATCTCAGGGTTGTTTTGATTTGCATTTCCCTAATGGCTAATGAGGTTGAACATTTCTTGACCTGGAAAGAAAAATTCTCAACTTTGTATGGAATAACAAGCAACCGAGAATTTCTAAAACAATTCTCTTATTTGCCTTTTGAATCACTTCATTTTGAAAAATCTAATATAGTAACCTAATGAGAATCTGAAGGAGGAAACATTTAGAGGACCTAACATCTTCAGAAAAAAAATCATTATAGATGTTTATTTCTTTAGAAAATTAAGATTTAGAGGCTGGAGAAATAGCTCAGTGGTTAAGAGCACGTGCTTTTCTTACAGAGGACCTGAGTCCAGTTTTAAACGTCCATATCAGATAGCTCACAATCACCTGTACCTCATTCTGAGAGGCCTAGTGCCCTCTTCTGGCTTCCACTGGTACTTGCAGTCACCCGCATGTACACACACACACAACTCCCTCCCCCACAACACAGTTAGTAATACACTAAAAAAATTAAAACAATGTATGTTTTAATTTTAACTACACACCACAGGAATTTTCAGAACACTGAGCAGAAAAATACAAGATCCTTACCAGTTCTATGTGAGCTGGCTCCTATTTCCCTTTCTTCACTTCACTTTTCCTTTTATTAGCTCACTGCATTCCTGCCTGCTACCTCTCTGTTGGTTGTTGGGTATTTAAACTCATATTTTTTTTTTCTGAGAACTTTGCTTTGCACATATTCTGGCACCTTTCTTTCAGTATTCTTTGTCTCTAAGTCTTCCTGACTTCATCTTTCTCATTGTTCAAGCTTTGGATAAAGAATCATCTCAGAGAGATTATCTCTAGCTAAACTGGACCCTTGTCACCCCACTCACTGCCCTCCTTATTTTGACCTATTTTTAGCCAAGGTTATGCTATTTAACTGTATGCCTTATATAATTCTTCAGGAATACTGACTACATGAAAGCAGGTAGAGTTCGTCTTATTAACCATGGTCTTTCACATATGTAGTATCTGACATAGAGATCAATGAATATCTTTTGTATTTTTGTATGTTGGATGCTGGTTGTGATTAGATTGAGGAGAGTTCAATCTTTAGGAACTTTAAAAAAATCATTTTTATCTATAAAACAATGGTATAGCTTACAGACTATTATGTAATCAGACATCCAAATGAAAGCCAAATATGATGGTACAGGCCTTTAAGCCCAACATTTAGGAAGCTGTCCTAGTTAGGGTTACTATCACTGTGATGAAACACCAGGAAAAGCAACAACTTGGGAAGGGAAGGGTTTATTTGGCTTACACTTTCACATCATAGTTCATCACTGAAGGAAGTAGGACAGGAACTCAAACAGGTTAGGAACCTGGAGGCAGGAACTGAGGTATAGACCACGGACAGGTGCTGGCTTGCTGCCCATGGCTTGCTCAGCCTGCTTTCTTATAGAATTCAGGGTCACCAGCCAAAGGGTGGCCCCACCTATAACGAACTGGGCCTTCTCCCTTACTTACTAATGGAGAAAATGCCCTATAGACTTATCTACAGTGAGATCTTATAAAAGCACTTTCTCAGTCGACATCGTTCTTCTCAGATGACTATAGATTGTGTCAAGTTGACATAGAAGTAAGGGCAGGAGGATAGGAGCTTGAGGAAATCATTAGCTACACAGGGAGTTCTAGGCTAGATTAGCTTGCACAACAAAAGCCTTTAAAAAAAAAAAGTAAACAAACTGAAGACCAAAATAAAGACAAACAAATGAGGCTGTGTTCATCTTTTCCAAATGATTCTGATGCATTAGGATAGTACAGGCCCTACTAGGTGACCCTATTATGCTCTTCTTTTGCAGACACATGACCTACATGGTTGGAGAGGAGGAGTGTACAGTGACCTTAGCTCCTCACACCATCATGGATCTCTTCCACACAGAAACTGAAGTGTAAACAGTGCCTCACATACCTTCCAGTACAACAGAAACAAAACCAAGACATTGCCTTGTCCTCCTTGCCTGGGTTTGGGGGGGTGGGCTGCTATCTCCAAAAGTGAGACTCAGGTCAATCCCTTCCAAATGGTGAGGGATAAACGAGTGCTTGTAGTTATGACAAAATGATCCTGCTCTCCTGACTATGACAAAATGCCTGGGAACAATAACCTTAGAGGGCTTATCTTGCTGTATTTTCTTAGGGGTGTTAGGGTGTGGTATCTTAGCACAGTTGCTTTTTGGACTGTCACAGGTAGTACATTATGGTGGAAGAAAGATGCTTATTTTGTGGCAGCCAGGAAACAGATGGAGGAAGCAGCTATGGTTCTAATATGCCTTTGAAGGGCCCATGACCAGAGACGTATTTTCCTCATTTAGGCCCTTTCTCTTAAACTTTCTAGCACCACCCTTGAAAGCTTCAAACGATGAGATTGGGGGAGGGACATTATTCTAGGTCCAAACAATAACAAGTATCATAATATTTCCTTAATGTAGGCCTATTTTCATAAGGATGATAAATTATTCCTTTCTCTGCATTATATCAATTCTAAAGATGATGAAAATATAAAACCTAGTAAAAAGCATCAGATTATATAGGTAAATTTTAATAGAGCAAATGGTTCTATGTCTAAAATGACCTCAAGCGTCTTTGTTAAATAGGATAAAAATCAAGATAAATCGGTCAAAATTATAAATAATATTTCAGCATATAAACCTGACTTGTCAAAACTTTTACTATGCAAATCTATTATTTTCTAAGTGAGTGACTGGTGATTAATACAGACAACATAGGTGATTATATAGTTTTTCATATGAAAAACATTAAACAATATTTTCATGAATCCTATTTGACATCGTGAAATAAACTACTAGAGCAAGAAACATCTCAGGCAAACAGACAAGATTTTAAAAGTTCGTATATTTATTAACAATTTTAAAATATAGTCACAAGCTTGGAAATGTGGTCTCATCTGAACAAAGGGGTGTTCTACAGAAGACATATTCTGAAACAAATGAAAAACAAATATCTTGATATAATGACCAAGTATCTTTATTACAGAGGGTCAGAATAAAGTAGATATTAGTAATAATAAGTCATAAACTAAAGAGTCTTCAAAGAGTTTATGACCAAATGACATTATTTTAAAATTAATTATTTTTAATGTATGACAGATAATGAAGTGGCAGTGGCAAGATGAACTCTATTTCCCATGCAGAGATGCACTTAATAAAAGGGACCTAGACAAGCTTTAAAAATGCAAGGGACATAGTAAATTAACTTACCATTCCCTCAAACAAAAGTAGAAATGATTCTCTTGAGAGAATTGAAGCCCCATCTGCTGACACAACTCACATCAGGTACTAAAACAGTAGGTGGGAAACTATTTCAATGGTGAAAACGACAGAGGAATCAGGAACATAGTCTGCTGAATATTTAGGTAGTTGATACTTTCCCGGACTGAAAAGACATTTCATTAAACACATAAAGTCATACGATGAATCAAATTTGTCCTAAAAGTAATTCATGCCTAACGGAACAGCTCACCAGCAGCCACGACCCTGGGATCCTCATGAGACAGATGTCTCCCAGCTGCGCGACTGTCTGCACTCTCATTCCACCACAGAACGTGGACTGCAGAAATTAAAAAAAAAAACAAAAAACAAAACACTGTTTCATTTGCACATAAATACAGAGAAATTAAGTAGAAAAACCCAATTATTTTAGTTAAAAAGTGATGTTATTTCAGTGATGAGATGTCAGAGGAGTCACAGACTTGGAAAAGAAAATTATAGATTAAAGTCACACTGTTTTATAGATGAAGAAATGAAACAGCCTTGAAAAGGGGAGTAAAGTAAGATAGCTAAAGGAACTCAAGATCCAAGATGGATGACTTCCTACTATATTTTATTTTACTTTTGCATCTATTGCTGGCAGCAGAACTTGGTAATGAGTGTGTAAGGGTCACCCAGGTGGTGCTGGTTTTGGAGGCATACAGGGGTCATGGAGAGCAGTTGAGACCTGGCACTGCATAGTGTGGCTGGGGTTCCTGAAGAGAGTCCAGGAGAGGCCATTGGTGAGGCTGCAGCTTCAGCTGCATCAGACGCTTCAACATATTGAGGATGCCAGGATCATGGGATGACTGCCAAGGACAGTGGCAGCTGAGGAACAGAGTGGGCCAAGGAGGTAAGTTGTGTGTGCTGAGGTTGGCAAAATTAGAGAAATGGAGCATCAAAGGCCCTTTGGAGCCCAGAAGATCCATGAGTCCCAAATGTCAGGCGCTCAACTTTTTACACTGTTGAATTTTGGATTTGCTTGGAATTTAATTGATACTGTGCCCTGGTTCTTCAATCTTAGAACAAGAAAAAAAAATCTTAATTTTTGCTTTTACAAGCACCTGCAGTTAAGAGACTTTGGTTATTTTGAAGAGATTAAGTTTTAAAAGACTGTGTGACTTTTAAAGTTATACTATGTTTTATACTGTGATAATGTTAACAGTACATCTTGGGGACAAACAAGAAAGGAAAGTTTATTATCATGCTGTGTTTATATGTCAAGTTGACAATGCGTCAATTGCATTAGTTTTTTGTTGACACAAAGCTCGAGACATCTGAGAAGAGAGAACCTCAGCTGAGAAAATGTGCTCCATCATATTGGCCTGTAGGCATGCCTGTGGAGCATTTCTCTTGATTAATGATTAGTGTGGAAAAGATCAGCCTACTGGGGATGGTGTCAGTCCTGGCTAGTATAAGAAAGAAAACCCAGCAAGCCGTGGGGAGCGAACAAACAACATTCTTCTGTTTCAGTTCCTGCCTCGAGTTCCTGCCCTCAATTTTGTTTATAGCGAACTATTAACTGGAGGTATAAGCTGGAATAAATTCTTACTTCCAGGATGCTTTTGGTCATGGTGTTTTATCATAGCAATAGAAGCCTAATTAGGGCAGGAGATACAGCTCAGCAGTAGAGCACTTGCCTTCCATGCATAAGGTCCTAGGTTCTATCCCTAGTACTGATAATAATGTATTTAGAGGAATACAAAGATTATAAAAGGAATAAATTATTTCTTGAGGCTCTTGTGCTGTTAAAATGTTTCTTTTATGTGTCAGAGAAAATACAAGTTTAGAATTTCAAAGTAATTTTAGTAGGTGTTAAGTTCTAAATAAGAGTCAATTTCTCAGTTTGTACAAATGATAAACATTACAAGAACTTGTCAATGATATATGAACTGTAACCAACAGATCTTAGTAGATAAATAAGTCACCAACATACATGAAAATTTAAAAAGAAATGCACAGCTGTACCTTTGTTGAGTACTCCATATTCTGTATGGAACACACCAATTACTTTATTGTAGCCTAGATTCGCATGGGCATTTATTGCCCTTTCAAAGGCACCACCCCACAAAGCTGGGCCACCAGGTTTCATCAGAAAAGTAGACAGCTCATAGAATCCTAGATTATGGAAAAGACAATTTTAAAAACGATCTCAAGGAATTTCTATCTATACTCGTATTCACTTGGTTTCAATAGAAGCCTGCTCAACCTATTCACATTGGAAGGTTTGCACATATGTGCACATTTACACAGGTGCAGAAATTGCATTTGCATTATTTCCCATTAGTTTTATGCTTATAAATCTCTTGTCCATGTTTAAACTTATTTCTACTACTAAGCTTCAATATACAGATGACAAAAAGTGGTAGCCGGTGGGGGCTGGAGAGATGGGTCTGTAGTAAGAGCATATACTCCTCTTGGAGAGGGCCCTCAGTTCAGTTCACAGCATCCATGTCAAGAAGCTTGGCAATTTCACTTAATCAATACCTTCAAATGGCCAGTTTTGTAGAAAAAATATTGACAGTAATTTAAAATTTAATATTAACTGTAATTTATAGATACATGTTCAATATATTTATTATAACATTTTTATATTATATATTTATAATATATAATATAAATATAATATATTTATATATAATATAATAAATATATCATATTTATATTTAATATTTATTATATTATTTATATTTAATATTTATTAT